CCCCTTGTCCCTTATGTCCCCTCCTTCTGCCTGGTGACAGGAGGGGCGGAGGTCCTCCACTTCTTGCAGACCCTCTCCCTGGTGTCTTTGCCTCAGAGTGTGGCTCAACCGATCTATCTCACTTTCACACTCTCTGTTCCTTTTCAATCTATCTACTTCTCTCCGTTCAACCACCTGCCTGAGCAGGTCGTTTATTTGGTCACACCGCACACACAAGCGGCGTCTCTGACCCCCTCTGCCTCAAGTGCCAGGCTCAGGCACTCGCCGCATCCCGAGACCTGCACAGCCGCGTGTTTCTGCAGGACCTCAGTCTGAGTTGCCAGAGTCTTCCTCACTGCGGCTGAGCTTACATGTTCATTCCTCCGTGTAGCTCTTACCCGTGGTGCGACCGTTATCGCTTTGGCCGGGAAGGAACCAATTACTTTGTGCCGATTCTCCCACACCTTGCTCTCGCGTCCCTGCCCTGTGAACTGCAAATAATTGCAACACCCCCGGTGCTCGCACAATCAAGCTCTGTGTCGCTGCCCTCCCAGAGGGGTCTTAGCACCCTTTAAACCGTGGGAGAGGCTAGTTACGCCCTTGTTTGGTTGCCGGGGGAGGGGTGCGAACACCCCGAGTGACCGCTGGCGTGTTCCCGCCTCGTTCAGAACAGGCGCCGGGGCTCTCGGCTCCGCCCTCCGCCCGGGCCGCCTCAGCAGCCCGCCCAAGAGCTGCCAGACCCCGAGAGCCGGCTAGCCACCTTCTTGCCTTCAAAAAGCATCCAAAAAAGAACTCCTTGCCGGTCCCTTTTGCTGTAAATTCCCTGTCCAGTGAGGGTCTACCTACACTGGAGCTGGTCTTCATGCCATGAGAAAGAGTAGTAGGATTTAGTCAGTTGTCGAAAGACTGTTGATTAGCAGAGAAAACACGAATGCTGTAATCATGTCTGATGTGTTACGAACAGACAGTGTTTAAAAACTAGTAAGTCATGTTATTTTTAGATGCATTTGTCTTTTTTCTTTCCTGCCAGCAAACCTGTCCCAAAGCTTTTTGTCAAGACTAGTCTGCCCATTGGTTTGTTTTTCTTTCAGTCAGATCAGACAACATCTTATGTCTTTCATTTAGTCTGAGAATACGGAAGGTAAATTCTATTGGGAGACAGAAGGGTACACCAACTCATTTCCTTTTTCCTTTATAATACTGGAAATTAGGTCACTGTATGCTCTTTTGTGCAAGACTGAACGAGCTTGGACTTGTAAAGGTAAATGTCCATAGAATGGCACTAAAGGTGAAAATCAAAGAAAAAAAATTCTTACTAGAATTAGCTCCTCCCTCTGGACTTCCAATTTCAGACTGTTTACAGAGGAATACAGTTCTGCTGGAAATAAAAGCATCTTATTGTTTTACATTATTAGTTAGATAAAGAATAAAATAAGCCTTTAATTTGTTCAAAGAATGCTTCCTTTGACCCCCACTTTCTGCCGTAGCATGAGACAGTTGCAGCCTTTCCCTGCCAAATGCTTGAGCTATAACAGCATTTTCTGATATTTTAAATTACTTTCTCATGTGATGCTGGCAGCAGTTAGCTTCTTTTAATTTAGGGTGAATGTTTGCTGACTGAAAGGGTTGGTCTAATGGTGAGGCTCTGATCAACAGAATCTTTATCACTTTCACTTAGAATTTTACTTTCATTGTCCACATCCTTAGGCTTACAAGATATATGAGTTAAAACTCTTCTAAATTATTAATTTTTTTTTTCTGGAAAAAAAAAATCAAAACAAAACAAACCATTATTCAGGTTGCTTGACTAGCTGGAAGATGTTAATAAGCTTCTTTAGGAGAAAACCATCAATGCAACTTCTGCAGTCAAATGAGAGGGAAGTTCGTTGCTAAGCACTTTTTAATATATTGCGATGAAAAAAGAGTATCTCCACAGCTACTGTTGAAAACCTCAGACAAGTAACCTGAGATTTCTTCAGAAGTTAACAAGCTGCCCTGGATGAAAGCCAGAGAAGTTTATGCTTGCATCTGCTCTGATTCAAACGGAGCAAGCAGCTCTCACTGAGTACTGCAAAGGATTGGTCCCTTCTGGGGATTGACATGCAAGCTCTCTCCTGCAATGGAGTCATCTGTCATCTGCACTAGATAATGTGCTAACTGACAAAGTCTGAGTTTCTAGATAAGTAGCAACTTGTTATAAATGTGGAAGACATACACATAGTCAGACTCTAGTTTTACCTGCATAGAGATGCTATTAATATTAGTGGGGTGATAGAAGAATACATGTTCAGACGTAGAAGCTGTACATAAGGGTAGTTACGGTAATCTTTATAAAGGAGTCCTTAATTCTTCCGAATCATTCATTGTTCTCCTTTCAGAAATATTTTTAAATAACTTGTAACAGAATGATCCTTTCTGTCTGAATGAAACAAAGTCACCATCCACCAAAACTGTTTGAATATTGACCCACAGAGTAGAAGAAGAGTCAAACTACATCCAGTAATTTAACAACTGATTTGTACATAATGATTAATAAGCTTAGCTGTTCATTGCTCACTTCTCTAACCTACAAAGCAGTGAGTTTTTAGTTGTCGTAGTTACATGCCTTTTTTCTGTTTTACACAAATATTTTGCTTTTGGTTTCATTGTTTCCATAGTTGCTTGTTTGTTTAGAACACATCCTTTTATATGTAGTGTTTTTGAAGCAGGGTCAGCAGTGTGAAGTGCAGTTCTCCTTTGTGAGATTTCTGTTGATTGCCATGAGATCTACGAAAGACAAATTTGGAGAGATTTGGTCTGTTGCTTCAATGAGGACACCTCCCTCAAGAACCTTACAAAGGCCTATTAAGTTGCTGGCTTTTTAGAATTCTGTGAAGTTCTTGTCTCTTAACTTCTTCGCTTATTTATACTTGTTTGCTTGTGTGTGTAGGGAGGTTTTTATGTTGCTTATTATGTTTTCAGGCCTACAATAGAAGGCGGTGTTTCAGAAGTTGAGATAATTTCACAACAAGTCGAAGAAGAGACAAAAAGCATTGCTCCTGTACAGCTTGTGAATTTTGCATATCGAGATCTCCCTTTAGCTGCACTTGATCTGTCTGTGGCTGGGTCCCAACTTTTGTCAAATTTGGATGAGGAGTACCAAAGAGAAGGGTAAGTACAAAGGGCAGGATTTTTAAAAATCATTTTAGAAATTTCATGGTTTGTAAAAAAGAAAACCTTGAGATGGAGAAGTGCAGCTAGTTGTCCTACCTCTAGCTCTTTTTAAAACCGGTGTCACAGGATGGAAGTGACCTTTCCTAATAGAACTAATCTGTGCTGGTTTGGGGCTCTTTACGGTTTCAAGGGGTTCATAGCTGCTATTTGACCACAGTCTGGAAGCTTTCTGTCAGGGAAAACTAGACCAAACATCTAGCCTGTCAGACAAGCAGAATGGCCTGGTGAAAGCTCTTTGAGAAAGATGTTTCAGGAGGATTTCAGGATGACAGAGAGTTGGCTAATGTGATTCTTGTACAAAGCTGTACAACTCCTGACTGAGAGATAATGACTTAATACTGTTAATTTCTGGAGTTCACTGAATAATTTGAATTGTGTGTTTCGCTTATGTGAGAACGTTGTCTTTGATAATGCATATACATATTACTTCTGTTTTCATAAGAAACTGTTCCAGTTTTACTGGAATAAAAGATCTTGGTAACATTTGCCCAAACATAACCTGGAGTCAGACTATGTGGCATTGCTGTCCTGTAGGACATTAGAAGTAATCCTTGGGCCTGGTTCAGGATTGAAGTGGCTGTAGGTGGGTTGCTATACTAAATTTTTTACAAAAGATTTGGGTCAACTGGAGAGAATCCAGAAGGCAGTAAGAATGATTAGTCTCAGAAAACCTACCATGGAGTATTGATTGAATTAAGTATGTTCCACATAAAGAAGAGACTTCCAGGGGAGCTTAGGAGAGACTTCAGTGAGGAAGAGAACAGCCTGTTGATGATCTCTATGATGTTTAGGAAAACAAGTAAAAAGTTTGAACTGCAGCAAGGAAGGGAATAATGAGGGTAGCAAAGTGCTGCCAGTATGTATGAGGAGGAGGGGAATAGAGTTGCAATTGCTAGGCATCTTGAAGAAGACATGTTGGTCAGAAGTGATAACACTATAGTTTAACATCCTTTGGGACAGACATTAGGTGAGCACTTGTCCCTAGCCCCTCTGATTCTGCGATTGCTGTTCAGCTGTCCCAGTGAATGTATGTAGACTTCACTGCCAACAAGATCCATCTAAAAGTACTACACAGTAGGTCATATAGAGCTCTTATTGAAGAAGGCATTGAAAGGCTTTATATAAGCCTACCTTTATTAACAGCTCAGTGTGTTTTAACGTGTATTCTGAGATCAGCAGAGAGACCTGCTTGATCTCTGCTCAGCAGGTATTCTGTATGGTAGTCACGAAGCATTATGTGGGGAAGGCTCTTGCCTTTAATTTCTTTCCAAATTGGACTTTGAGACATCTCCAGAAAATTGTTACTCCAAACAAGGGGAAATACATTTCAAGTAGGTTATATAAGTATGGTACAACTGTAACATAAAATACCCTGCATAGCAAAAGAGGGACTTGAAAATTAATTTTGAGTATGCAGGTGTAACCCTCAGGCTATTTTGGTGCTGCTTAAATATCGGTTTAGTTCAAGCATGCATTTTTATAGATTTTTATGATCTGAAACTCAATTCTTCACTGTGCCAAAGTGCACAGACCTTCCATTGTAACCACCATAGTAGCTTTGCGGTCTTCAGCGTGGAAATAGACTTGTCATTGTTTTCCTTGGCAGAGATCTCTTCCTTTGCACAGACTTCTTTTGTGGCTTTATCAGTCTGAATGGAAATAAGCAGGTGCCATCCAGACCTTTCAGCTGCAGAGTGGATTCTCTGAAGAAAATTCAGAGCTTTAGTGTGTATGTCTCAATGCATTTTGACTGGCTATGTTCAGCTGAGCCCCAGGACTGCATCTGCCTTGGGGGAATGGCAGCTTTGTCCTTTCAGATGCACTGAGCACAACTTATGCCCTGCGAAATTTAGAAGCAGAGCTGAGCTCCAGAAGCTCAGTTGCAAAAGTAAAATGCTGACCCTGTACCTCCTCGTGGCTTGGTTGGGAATATACCTGGTTTTATAAATGTCGTGTAATTTCTTTCTCGTGGCCTTGTTAGATGTGACTGCCTTCCACCTGAGTAAGAAGGGGGATAGTGTGAGTCAGGTCAGTTTGGTACAGGAGCTGACAGCTACATCTCCCTCATGTATGAAGAGAATGATATGGTAAGGGTAGCACAGGAGGTAGCAGATGAGGCCCTGTAGTTTCTGCCAGCATCCATATTCGTAACTGAAGCTCTGTTACTCTAATGCTGCCATACAGGTTGCAGGTGGAGATACGAGAAGATACTGCTAATATCAGAGTATCAAAAGGTGTTGTAGAACTCATCTTTCCCTCCCTGGCAGCCCACCGTTGTTGCAGACTCCAAGCGTTACCCTCTGTATACTTTTGTCTGAAAATTTCAGGGAAGGTCCTAACCCGTATGACCTGCACGTATTCTGTATGGCTTTGTTTTTCTAGATCCAGAGCTGATCTAAGCAAGTTGTAGGCATTCTAACTGCAAGGCTCTGCAGCAGGAAGGTCTGGCCCATCCCTGTGCAAGGAAAATGCTGGGTGGTTGTTACAAGCTACATCTGTCTGTGATCTTGTGCTTGTTGATGTAATTTTGCACACTCACTAGTTCCTGCTGTGGGTTTGTCACGCTTCATCAGTGGTAAATCTCAGTCTGCGTGCACAGAGCAATAAGAGACACATCAGACTAGAGATGAATGAGTGGGCAAAAAAGGAGTCTTCTGATTTAATGGTTTGGTAGTGTGCACCCCAAGGCTTTCCTCTGCGTTTCCTTCTTTGAGGCCAGAAGGTGTTCCAAATCCAAGCACAAGTGGAAATTTAACCTGGTTGCTGACTAGGGGAGTTTCTTGTTTTTTTCTGGGAGAATGTTTCTCTCAGAAAACCCAATATTAATAGGCAACCAGGTACAGGTGAGTCACAGCTCAGCCCTCTTTGTGTGCCTGGAAACTCTCACATAGCAGCAGTTCAGATACCCCTCCCATATGAAATGGGAGAATTTAAAAAAAAAAAAAAAAAAAAAAAAAACAACAAACCAAACAAAAAAGGGAAGGAAAATTATGGTTTGTCTTTTGTTAGACTGACATTCGTATGGCTTTAAAGATAATGGAATAAAAAAGTTTGTTTTGATCAAATGCTCAGAGCAGTCAGTTCCCATTTGTCAGTGGAATTTTGTGGACAATTTGAGCTGGTTTTGTCAGAAATTTAGTTGACAGTGCTGATCCCTGTGCTAAGCAAAAAAAGGACTGCAGATTAGATGAGTGCATTAGGCCTGTCCGTGAAGTACACCTGTACGTAGTAAAAAGGTCATCAGGCAAGAAAAAACTCTCTCCACTCTCCCAGAAACTCTCAAGCAAAACACAAAATGTGTTATATTCTAATGCGGTTTGAGCAAATATTCTTTTCCCTCTGTAGATCTCTCGAATGGGGGAAGTACAGAGTTTTACGTGATGGAAGTTGGTTAAATTGGATAGAATCTGTACTGCAAATATTCTCACTCATCATAAATCCCATGAGTGGGCTGGTGTTGCCACCTTTGCACTGAAGAGGGGTAAGATGCCTGTGGTCTCTGCAGGTGGGATGGGAGAGATTCCTGCATCTGGGCTTGGTTCCTAGCTGCAGTGAGGCCAATGTGCCTGGTGTTAATAGAGCTTAGTCTTCTGAAAAAGGACACTTTCTGATACGTAGCAACAATATTTAACTAAAACATTTGGAGTTCCATGTGACTAAAGCAATCTCTGTTGCAGCACTTGGTTCTCACAACCAGTGTGTGATCTTCATTACTTGCTAGTCCAGCTACTCTGCCCTGCAGTTAACTTGTTAGGAGTGGAGTCATCCTTGGATAACACTGCTGTGCACTGTACTCCGTGCTTAGACGTTGCCAAAATGGTGGAGGCATAGCTGGAGACAAGTATATGAGAAATAAACTCACTTGAGAAATGTTCCTTGGATGCCAAGAACACATGGTGTACACTTCTGACATATCTGTAATATATTAGATGATACTCATGTCCAAAAAGCATCAGCAAAGATGCTGATTTTCTTCACTCCCTGAAGAGGCTTTGTCTGCACTGAACTCAGTTTGCATGAAAAGAACGTGTCAATGTCTCTTTAAGGAGTGTAATCACCCAGAAAGCTAAGGAGATTTTTAAATGATGACATTAGCTTTAAGTGCCACTTCTAGTTTCTTTTTTTTTCCAAACAAGGATTCTGTTTTCCAAAACATACCTTCCCTCTTCTATTTTTGCATCAATAACCAGTGAAAATTATGGGGAATAGCTGGGAAACTCACAGCACACAGAAAGAAGTACATGTGTGCTAAAACAAGTGAGGTATGACAGGGAAGAGCTTTCCTTCCTGTACTTTCCTAAAGTTCCGTTTAGGTGTCATTCACAGTCAATTATTATAGAATTTACAGTTATACAGCAGGCTGGGTTGGGGTTTTTTGTGAATATGCAGTTAGGCAGTGAGCCTGTCTCTCAGTAGAAATCTTTAAAGGGGGTGAGAAGCAAAGTGAGAGTGATATACAAAATTTACTTGTATTTGCTTTAGATTACAGCTCTTGAATTTTTACAGGTTAAACAAATTTGAAACATGAAGGTGCTTTCAAATACTGTGCTTTATATCAACAGCTGTAAGGGGTGGGAGTTCATACAGTTAATGTTATTTACTTGATATCAGCTGTAAGTAGTCATGCCACTGCAATTTAATCCTCTATGATCATTTGCTCTTAGCCTTAGATTTGTTTGGTCACCACTAGAAAGTGCATTAAACAGTAGAAATACCTGGGGAAGAAAAAAAAGAAAAATTTAGGAAGGGGTAGAGAGAGGTAAAAAGGGAGGGAAACCAAAACTGAACAGAGATTTACAGAGGCTCAGATGTTATCATAGGAAAGAATTGTGAGCTTTTTTAAATTGGGTGCAAGGTTTCACTGAGCAATGTTTTCGCCCATCCTGGGAGAAAAGGACATCTGTTCCTGCAGCCTGGCTTCTGTCATTGCACCAAGT